CGCATCCTGGATTCCACTGCTAGTCATCATCCACCAATTAAATACTAATTAAATGCCCAGACATCGTCGAAGCATCTGCTCAAGAAGTCGACATGTCAACCTGAGACCGAGCACTTCGGTCCAATCAATCGACGGGAAAATCCAAAATTCAATTAAAAGTTATCATCTTAGCCAAATTTTCAGCTCGTTACCGAATGGTGATTGCGTAATCAAGCTTCTTCGGACAAGGTACACATTAGTTGTTTTCCCTACGTTATCTATGAACCAGACATTCTACTTGAACCTAGATTAAAGGTCATATCATCGGATTTTATTCTCACATACTGTCTAGTCAGAGTATTCTGTGTGCGTCGGTAGCACAGTGGTTAGGACTCTCGCCGACCATGAATATGGTCCGGGGTTTGACCCCCTGCCGACGCATATCTGATATCTATGGTCGGCCTGCAAAATTTGGGCTACCGATATCATATGCTGAAAATTCCATCCTTGTACCAAAAATACGGTTTGGAATCAAGCTATGATCCAAAAAAAGAAAGAAATACGCTTCATCAAGCTTCTGATATATACTACTGATTAATATGAGTAGTTGAAAATTAGTCAAATAAGCCAACTGTGCTTGTTACCTGTATATATATATATATATATTCTAAAGTTTGGTTTGTAAGGGTTAGTTATGTTTTACGAGTGGATCACGGACTGGTATCAGTTAGAGAACCATCGAAAACCAGGGAGCACTGGACAGCTGCTGTTTCATCCTAGTTTGGGAATCATCGGCAGTACGCACTCACTGGGATTCGAACTCAGGACCTTCCGGTTACAAGGCAAACTCGTATACCATTCAGCCACTGGGACCCGATTCAGTGGCTCATGAATTCTAACTTCTACCAATTCGTGATTTAACGCGACTCCAACCATTGTCGTTGGTGGGAAATCCATCCACTTGCTACAGGTTGGAGCTTCCTGTAGTTCTAGTGAGAAGTCGTGACCAGTGAGGTCCAATTAGATGTCACGTGTGTGGATGGATGTCCCACCAACGACAATAGTTGGGGTCGCGCTAAATCACGAATTGGTAGAAGTTAGAATTCATGCACTAGCCATTGAATCGGGTCCCAGTGGCTGAATGGTATACGAGCTTGCCTTGTAACCGGAAGGTCCTGGGTTCGAATCCCAGTGGGTGCGTACTGCCGATGATTCCCAAACTAGGATGAAACAGCAGCTGTCCAGTACTCCCTGGTTCCCAATGGTTCTCCAACTGATATCAATCCGTGATCAACTCGTAAAAACATAACTAATCCCTACAAACCAAACTATAGAATATATATATATATATATAAACGATACAAATACTGCATACCTGTCTCACTCTTTCACAGGTAAGCTCATTAATACTCTTCAAAAATAAAAACCTAATCAGAAATTATGTAACAGTATGTAATATCTTTTATTAGGGGAAGTTATTAATTAATTTCATGAACATTTCGATACAATTTGTGTTTTTTTTTTTACTGATATCGTGATTTATTAATACTGTTGCTTTCTTTATACATTGATACATGTTTTTGGCCGAAAACAGAATATTGTCTTGAAGCGGATTAGCATTATTCTTGTTTTAATGTTATTATCACCATTGCCTTGTGATATGTCTGTCTGGTTATCGGTCTGGTTACCGTCTCACCCTGCTAAACATCATTTAATCAAGGAATTTTTTTAGTATTCATAAGGGAAATCAAATCATGAACAAAATATAATATATATACAGGTTAAAAACATTTGATTTATTATTTTTTTAAAGGGATATTACAGTAAATAAAAAAGGGAACGAATAACATTTCTGACAGGTTTCATCTCGTGTGTGTATGTTTGTGTGTGTGTGTGTGTGTAAGTTTGCTTGTGTGTGCGTGTGTGTTTTGCGTGAACAAGTAATGTAGGTTTCCCTGACATCCTACATGCAGCTGAATCAATAAGGAGGCTGGAGATTCATGTAAGCAACATGCATGCATGTTACTTCTTCCGATGGCCTGACAAATATTGTAATGTATTGTAATCTGTTCTAATGATGAGTTGATATGAAACTGCATGTTTGGTCACGAGGTGACACAGTCAGTCAGCAAACCAATGGAAATCTAGGGAGTATTGAATAGCTGTTTCGTCCTCACTCAAGACTCTTCAGTAGTACGCATTAACCGATTATACTAGGTAACTGTTATGCTCTATATATCCCAAATTGGCGGGAGTTAAAATTCAAGGGTAGTTGGATCAGGTGTTGATGGCTAAGGGGTCTACGTGTCCGCCTAGTAACCCCAGGGGGGTAGTTGGTTCGGACCCCAGCGGGTACGTACCACCGAAGAGCCCTAACCTAAGACGAAACAACTGTCCATTACTCTGTAATTTTCCAATGGTTCTCTAATTGGTGTAAGCTGATGATCAAAACTGTAACAAATCAATTCCAAGTAAACAAACATTTAAAAAATGTCTATTAACAATACAAAGACCATTTTAGCTGTACACATCACTCTAGTGAATGAGTCTAATGTTGTACGATAGACTTAACTTCCTACTCTCACTGTAAAATAGTCAAAAAAGTCGCCACTGGTAGGATTCTCAGCAATATAGAGCCTTTGAATTAACTGTGAGTAAAATCAAAACTTAGTTATATTTCCACTAGAAATCAACCACACAGTGTATACAGCTTATTAAGTAAGGTAA